AAGAATAATGAATAAGTAGTGACTCAATTTTTTAGAATATTTATATTATTGTAATTTTTATATGTGTTAGTATAATTACCTGATCATCGCAGCTTTGATCTATATCACTTTTTTTCAGTTTTGATTGTAAATTGTTCAATCGATGTTTTTTTAACCTAGGTGCACTTAACTTACACCTAGCTTTTCGCCCAAAACGCCAGTCTTTACCCATTTTTTAAATGAACGAAAAAAAATCACAAACCACCGGAAACTCACAGACAACTTAACTGATCAGAGTGTAGTGTTCAAATATAATGATTCATACTATTCATAATTCATAGGTAGTATATTATATAATATTGGTTTTATTTAATTTTGGAAAAATATTATTATTATTATTGATTATTATCGTTGCCTATTAATTATTCTTGTATACCTATCCAGTAATTCTTATCTGCTAATTGTTTCCGAGAATCGCTGTCACGTCGAGTCGGGCAACCGCGCCGGAAACAACTCTCACACGCGCACGCACATGTCAATACAGCTCGAAAAATTAAATATATTCATGTTTGCAATTCTATAAAAACTACTAAAAGCGGTAGTAAATTAAACATACTTCCTGAAGTCCGATTGTAATTTTGAAAAAATGGTTGAATTTATAAACTTCTAGACCATGTTTCTTAGGAATCAATTTTTTTATTTAAAATCAGATGTGCCCAAAATAAATACAAATGTAATGCAATTATTTCATGGGATTTCTAAAAAAAAAATGGTTATTTTAAGGTCATTTTAAATTAAAAATTGAAAATCGACTTCCTAAGAAACCTAGATATTTTATCAATGAATTCAAACATGTATAAAAAATTTAAATCGGACATTCCGAAGTATGTGTAATTTACCACCGCTTATTGGTCTAAAACGTATGAAAAATACGTGAGCTGCAGCCCCCTTAATCCAAAACGAACCTTTTCCGTGCATAAAAATTATATTTAGATAATCAAAACGTACTTTTTCCAGTTTTACGACAAAACATACTATTGCCAATGTTAAAACTTAAAATAATAGGCACCAATCATTAACTATACCAAAACGAACTATTTTCGTAAATTATTCCAAAACGTACTTTTTTTTTTATGTTATGTCAAAACGTACTACTGCCCGTATTGTAGGTATAGCGAAATAAAATAGTTAATCCAAAACGTACTAAAATATAATTTATAATTTATAATATTCACAATCATTAAGTTTGAAATTAAATTAAAAATATAATCCTAGATTATTAAACACATTTGAGTCGTTTTTAATAGAAATAATATATTATTAAATAATTTAAAAAATCTTCCTTGTCTTCAAAATTACTTTTTTATTTATAAACGGTTTGTTCATATTGAAACAATAAATAAGAAATTAATAATATTTTTATTTTGGAAAAAGCACATTTTGGAGTATATTTTAATATTTCATTAGGTTTTCCAAAATGAACTATTTCCATTAAATTTTCCAAAATGTACTATTTCCATTAAATTAATGGAAAAGGTATACGTTTTGGATTATTTTACATTTTTATATGACAAAAAAATATGTAGATGTAGAATCATTAAAGTCATTCTATCTAAATTTTAAAAACAATACTGATAGGTAATATTATTTTCACAGGCAATTTAAAAAAGTCCCTAAAAAATAAAATAAATGTGTATATTGTATAATAATTAATAAATTAACATATTCAGCCATTGGCCATATGGGGCCCCGCGAAATTCTGCACCGGGCCCCGAAAACCATCGGGCCGGCACTGCTTATGCTATATCGTTAAATGTGCAAAGGTAATTTTTTTTATTTTCCTTTGTTCAGTGCTATTTAGTAGCACTAGTAAACTGTAATAATACATACTGTTAATATATGATATTTATTTACAGATGTATGTTTTAAGAAATTTCCACATACAAACCAAGACAAAATTGACTTTCATTTGAAAAGTTGGATAAGGCATTCAAAAGAGAGATTTGAAAGAGGTAATAACATTGTGATGCCTGCAATTCAATCACAAATTGATGATTAAAAAATATATATTTAAGTATAAATTTAAAATATAGTTAAAAAAGATAAATATTGAGTTTTGTTTTTATTTTTAATATATTTGTATTCTTACCTAGAACATACCTTATTAAATCCATTACTTTATTTAAGCAAACTATCTACCACGTGGGTGGAAAATACACATAATAGTATACAGATTCAATATTAACATACATATTATTTTGGTTACAGGATTTTAAAATATTAGTATCAAAATGAAACATAAAATTAAAAAAAAAGGATGCTTAAAAATTAAATTTTGAACAAAATAAAAAGTTAAATTTAAAAGGAAACAATTCGAGAGAAAAGTGGTTAAATTGTATGTATGTATGTATATATAGATAAAAATTCCATAAATTAGAGAACATTAAGTATTTTAACATGTATATTAATACAATTGGTATTGAACAATACCTATAATTACCTACTCATAATTTGGAATGAATAAAATTATAAAGATGAAAGCAGTTTCCACATGTTTGCACTTTGCAGTGTATTCTATAGTTAAAATTTTGAACTAATATTTACTGGAAATTGATAACCTATAAAGTCTGCATGTAAACTATGAAAAAGTTAAGGTTAAATACCTATGTGTGATAAATAATAGGAGTCCAACTGGTGATTTAATGGTGTCCTATTAGTGATTTACTGGAGTCCAACTGGTGATTTAATGGTGTCCTATTGATGATTTACTGGAGTCCTTATGTAATCCAAAATTGGATTCCTAAGTGGGAAACTGGTGGGAAACCCGAAGGTGAGTATTGGGATTAGCCAGGGATACCTCAAGGAATCTCTAGATACCCATTAAGGAGTCCAGCTGGTATTGTGTGGGAATCCTGGTGCTGTTAGTGTGGGTTATGATACTATTGGAGATGTTAGATAACCAATTTTTATTGTAATCAATGAACATATAATTTGTAAACTAACATGAAAATTATTATTATATAAAATGCCATTGTAGCATTATTGTATTAATTATCAATTTAGCATTGTTTTACAAATCATTAATTATTATATTATTATGTTTAAAATAATATAAAAAAAAAAATATATATTGATAATATGTAAATGAAAATTGTTATGTTATGAAAAAACAAAAATATTGTTATGTTATAAAAACAAAAAATATTGTTATGTAAATGAAATGTATATTGATATGTTAAATTATGTGTAATCAAAATTATATTGTAAGTAAAAAGAGATTATTATGTCTTGAAAATAAATTATGTACAATGAAAATTTTTATGTGATGAAAAGAAATTATGTAAAATTGTCGTCATGACAAACTCAAATCATTTATATATATACAGTATAGTCTCGACTTTCATGACGTTGTAACAGGCGAATCATACCCCTGGTATAATATTCCTAGTATCTATATACCTCCTAAAATATCTTACCGGGGGTACGAATATCCTAGGAATTTTATACCTCCCAAAATCTCATACCGAGGGGTACAAATATCCTAGGCGTTCTATTCCTCCCAAAATCTCATACCGGGGGTTATGAATATCCTAAGAATTATATACCCCCGGTATAATATTCTTAGGATATCTATAACTCCCAAAATGTCTACCGGGGATACGAATATCCTAGGAATTTTATACCTCCCAAAATCTCATACCTAGGATATGCATACCCCCGGTATGAGATTTTAGGGAGATGTTAGGGAGACGTGGCATATGTGAAATGGGGAACAGTAAACCATAGAGCGGTAAACAAGCCGACCCCGCGTAGCTTACCCCGCCATCTGTTAGACGGTTGGTCACATTGTTTTCGCGCCGACCGCCGGCCTCCGCGCCGCGGCAGTGGCCGGCGCGTGTTCTCTTTTCTCATAACCGTCAACCGAGCGTAATGTCGTCGATACAATCGCCGACGCCATTTGTTCCCGTTTACAAGACAACGACGCTCTCATGTTCCGCACAACGAAATTTCGTGACCGACCGTCCCTTTCTGATCACTGATCACACAACATTTTAAAACATTTTTTACTATCTTAACATTTCTTATTATCTAAGATAGTTATTTATTTATAATACACGCACTCATAAAACTTACAATGTAAGTACGAAGTACCTACCTACTACCTACAAGTTGCAATTAATTATTATTTAAATTATATATTATATTATACAATTTGGTATAACATATAACAATAAATTATTATTTTCATCTTTACAGATTCAAATTGTTTAGATAATTACATGCTATTATACCTAAAATAAAAATATAAGATATCTACGTCAATGTATAATATAATGTACATTATATAAACCTATTATCATTTTTGTTTCTTAGGCCAAAGAAACCATTATTAGAATTGTCAAATTCTCGTAGACAACAATTGGTTCGAAAAAAAATGAAAGAACGACTGCAAAATATTGAGGTTAATATTACCTAAATATTTATAATTATTTAAAAAATATATTTTTGCACTTCATAAGTAGGTACTAGAGCTCTCGAATTTGAACGTGAATTAAGATTCACGTGATCATGTGTTTTTTGTCCCCGTGTACTTAAATTTAAAAATCCGTGTATTTAATTCACGTGTAATTAATTAGTAAATCACGGATATTTATTTCACGTGTGCTTGAAACAATATTTACTGAACTCATTAAATTTTAATAATATATTTAAAAAGATATGTTGATAATTTCCGTAAAAAAAACCAAAAACTAAAAGAATTCATACATACTATTCTAAAAATAAATGTTTCATAAACAGTATTATTGTAAAACGACGGGACGGTAGATTAATGTACGTATATAATACGCAGTACGTACACGACAGCGACTTGGACATTTCTACGAATCGTTTTACTAGTTTATTATAGTCATTTTTTTCAATTGTTGTTATTTATTGAAGCCTTGATGAGACAATCTCGGATTCATGGTAAATGTGTACTAACGGCATTAAAATATAAATTTTCTTTCTAACGCATAACAATGTCTAAGGTTAAAAGTTGGGTTTGGAATTACGCTAAACGTGTAGGAGATAAAGCTTACTGCGATTTATGTGAAGAAAATTCTAATAATGAATTTTCGTGTGTTGGTGGAACAACTGGATCAGTACTTCGTCATTTAAAAAACATTCATAATATATCAAACCAACAAGAAAGTAATAAAACACAAAGGTGCGTATTGTATAATATTATGTCAGAATTAACACATATAGTAATAATAATAACGGCGAGCAATATTACCTATAATATTATGATAATTTTAATATTTAACAATTTTTTTAGTGGTGTAATTCCTACATTAGTTTTAGTATGCTATAGTTACATCATTAAAATGTTTAGTATAAACCTAGTTTAGTATCCACGCAATCTTTCACATTTTTTTCCTGAAACGTAAGTACCTACTTTTTTGCGCTGAAAATAATGGTGCAATCAGAATTATTTATTTTATTTACAATATTATGATTTATGACAATTTTATTTTAAAATAGTGAAGAAAGCAATGAAAATATTAATGAACAATCAAATGCCCACAATTTAGAATTATGTGATACTCAGATTAGCACTTTTACTTCTACTTCATCTTCTACAGTTCCATCTCGAAAACGACGTCGTCGTAATGATTTAACAAGTGAAAGAAATGATACACCACCTTGCAGTCCTGAAAGAACTGAAATTATTCATCAAGCCGTGGCTAAAATGGTGGCTTTAAATCAATTGCCTATATCGTTCTGTTCTAGTGCTGGATTTCATTACTTCATGTCCATCGTAGAACCAAATTACAAGGCAATTAAGGAAGAGGCATTAAAAAAGAGGCTTTATGCACTAAAAACTGATATAAAAGAAAAAGTAAAAGAAAAATTGCGTTCTGCTCAAAGTGTATCGTGTACTTCTGATTGTTGGTCATCGTTGTCACAACAGTCATACATAACTATAGGTGCACATATTATTGATACACAGTGGTGTCCAATATCATTCACACTCACTACTCATGAGTTACACGAACGACACACAGCAGAAAATCTTACCCAGCAACTGGAGAACACTTTCAACGAATGGGAAATAGATAAAAAAGTAGTAGCAGTAGTAACAGATAATGCTAAAAATATTGTAAATGCCGTCACATCATTAAGTTATATTCCTGAAGTTTGTAGTAGTACATGTGCAGCTCATTCATTGCAACTTTGTATCAATAATTCTTTAAAAACATATACGATAACTGAAATAATTCAAAAATGTTCTAAATTAGTTGGTCATTTCAAACACTCCAATGTAGCAATGAATGAATTACATAAAAAACAAGAACAATTAGGCTATCCCAAAAGTTCATTGCTTCAATATTGTAAAACACGGTGGAATTCAATTTATACAATGTTGGATCGTCTTTTTATAAATAGAAGTGTAATATTGTCTGTATTAACCGATAGAAGTATAACTACATCAGACATATGTAGAAAATTGGAGATTACAGAAAATCAATGGTGTTTAATAGAAACTTTGATATGTTTACTGAAACCATTTTACGTTCTTACAACAGTTCTTTGTAAAGAAAATCATTCTCCCGTGTCTATGGTGAGACCTTTGCTTCACAAAGTTATAGAAAATCATTTAAAATCACAAGATGACGACAATATAATTATTAAAGACTTCAGAAAAACGGTTGTAAATGAATTAACAAAGCGGCTTAATCTTCAATTTGAAATTACTAATATAATTTCTGTAAGTCATATTTCAAGTTTTTTAGATCCTAGGTATAAGGATCTGGAACATGAACCGATTCGTGTTAGAGAAGAAATTCGTAATCATGTTAAAATGTATTGAATAATAATATTGTTGTTCATCAGAAACAGCCGCAACAACATACATCGATCGGTAATAGCGATCTCAAATTTTTATATTGTCATGATGGTCTTCCTGAGAATGAAATATCTGATCAGTTTCAAGGCTACCTAGCAGAAACTCAGTTAAGATTTGACTTTGATCCATTCGAGTGGTGGAAAACACAGGAACATAAATATCCAGTTATAGCGAAGTTGGCATTAAAATATCTGACAATACCGGCAACATCAGTCAGTTCGGAAAGATGTTTTTCTACAGCAGGTAATATAGTTACGTCAAAAAGAAGCTGTTTGCTGTCGGAAAATGTTAATATGTTGATTTTTCTTTATCAAAATAGAAAACTATTAGAATGAAAATTATTATGTTTATTTTTTACAAATTATTGTTATTCAATTTCACATAACATGTAGTATTTATAGGTATAATATTCTAATTATAATTTATAACACAAATACATACACATGGATATCTGTTTATCTGTTAGGATTTATTAAACTATAACATATATATTATATTATACGAGTAAATTATGCACGTGAAAAAATTGAGCTTATTGTCCAAAATTAATAAATAAATAAAATTTAAAACATGTCCTTATTGTTATACATTTTTATGCTATACATAATTGTTCAATTATTTTTGTATTTATGTAAAATGTTATTAAGTTTCAAATAATAAACATTAGTCAAAAAACTGCATTCTAAAATACTATACTCTATTCAGAATAACCTTGCCCACTTTCGCGCACGCAACTGAGCCGCCGGCAGTCGTCAGACCCCCCGGCGAGAGTCAGGTGCACTGTGATTGGTCGTTAGTTGTCGACCGCTACCGTCATGCGTCGCTATCGACAGCCGCCGCCGTATATACAGATGTTCATAATAACACGATCGTAATAATTAATAATTATTACCTATATCATGTTATAATGTATAGTTTTTTTTCCTTTACCGTGTTTTTTGTACTTTTACCTTATTTTTCTGTACCAAACACAATGCTTACGTAGTATACAATTATTATTAAAACCCAGTACCAATGTAATTAATACCTATGTAATTTAACCCTTCAATGCGCGATTTTCTGAATTTAAAAAAAAAAAAATGTACCTTATGTGTTTTTTTACGTAGAAAACAGAAAAAATACTTAAAAAATTCTAGCTATTATATTTTCTTGGAAAACCAAGATTTTCAGATTGTTGCAAATATGCAACATTGCGCGTAAATACATACATAAATAATAATATATAATAATTCCACATAATCATACTTTATTTATGTTTTTCTTTTGCATTTTGTAGACAATTTTATTTATTGATTATAAAAACCTTATCTTTAAGTTAATAGCACCTATTTATCACAATAAAATCACTTTTTAGTAATAATATAACCTTACCTTTAAGTTATTATTTATTACAATATCACTTTACTTAGATACAATTTAATATACTTAGGTATAATACATTTTATTTTATAATATGATAATCGGTAAAACAAACACGTTTTGATTTTACACATAAATAGACATTGCATTTACTGCACTGAAAGTTTGTGTAGCCTTTGCAATTTGGAAACTTGCAACGTCCTTTTTTTTCGATGTGATTTATATAATGTCCAATGTTGTCAGTTCTGATATCTTGAGTAGGACGTGGTGTTGGTCTGGTTCTGTTTTGTTTTTTTCGGTTGCTTTCTAATGACGGACGACCTCTAGTTGGTGTTTGTACAAAACCTATTCTCGTTAGAGTATATGCTAAATTTTTTCGCCAGTCAACAAGTGTATATTTGCTAGGTTTTCCTAGCTGAGATTGGGTTCTTTTATATAGGAGCCATGAATTTACAACAGATGTATCAATCAAATGATAAAAAATTCGCATATACCACTTTCTTGATCTCATACGAACTTTATATCGGCCAATAAGACTATCTAAAAGATCAACTCCCCCCATAAACCTATTATATTCTTTAATTACGGTAGGACAATCAATATTAATTTTTTTTTTTAATTTTTTGTCAAATCTATTGGCAGTCAGCATCGGTAATGATCCACAGTAAGTTGATAATAAGTTTACTTGCTTATTATCTTTCCACGAAGTTACAGACATAGGCGTATTTTCATAAACTGTCAAATACTCATACGATTTTCCACGGGCATCTTTTTTAATAATTTGGTCATTGGGTATTTTATTGTTAGGTAATCGGTCTTTTCGTACTGTCCCTAGACACAAAATTCCATTTTGGTGTAAATACGAAGCTAATGGAATACTAGTATAGAAATTGTCAAAATATATTCGATGATTTTTATGGCGTGGAATATTTCTAGTAAGACGTACAACTATGTTAGAACTAGCACCAAGATCTGGCTCGTTTAGTAATCGAAATCGTTGATCATTTTCTTGGCCCGAATAAATTTCGAATTGGTACGAAAATCCTTTTGAGTCACACAATACAAAAAATTCAAAACCCCATTTATGGGGTTTAGCAGGCATATACTTTTTTAAATAACTTCTCGCTTTTGTAGCACAAAGCTGTTCATCAAGTGATAAGTCTCTTGGGTAAGGAATCGAGTTGAATTTATTGTTTAAATGATCAATGAGGGGACGTATTTTATACAATCTATCATAATGTATATCCTCTTTTTCTAACATTTTATTGTTGTCGTTAAAATGAATAAATCTACGTATTTCTTCAAATCTTTTTTGACTTAAAGAATTATATACGTGAGAAAGGCCTAAATGTTCACTCCAATAGTCTCGAACGTTTGGAACTACACAAACTGAATTATACATCAGAATACCAATATACCTCTTGAGCTCATCTATAGTTACTGAAAATTTTTTATTGATATCTATCTGCGCAGCAAAAAGCTCACTTTCAGATTTTATTTTAGTAAAAAGTTCTTCATTAAAAAAATATGTAAAAAACTGATATGGTGTCGAAAGCTCCAAAATCTTATTAGGTAGTAAGTTTTCATCGTGAGCTATTAGTTGAGGTTCATACATTAAATTACCTGTTTTCCATTTTAAGTTTTTAAATTCTTCAGTTTTTTGTTTTTTTGGTATACGATTTTGTACTAACGTGCTTTCTATCGGTTTACGAGAAAATTTGGGACGAAGCGATTTATATCTAGCTGATTGAATAACAGAAGGATTTGGACAGGTGTTCATTTCGTATTTATTATTTTTAGATGTATCTAAATAAGTATTCGAAGAAGAGGGACCTGGTTCATAAATGTCTAACGCCAGTACTTCATTATCAAATAATTTTGGTTGATTGATAACAGAACATTCATTGTTTGGTATAGTTATGTACTCACCTTCATCTTCAAATATAACTGGTAAACTATTAATATCAAGATTAATATCAGAATCAATACTTTCGTAATTTTCAGTTTCATACATAAACATTTCGTTCTCGTCATCGGAACATTCAACATCGTCATCGCTTTCATCCCAATTCGCCACTAAACAACCAATTTCAATATCACTCAAAAACTTACTCATAATAAAAACAGTTCGTGCGCGATGTTGCAAATACGCAACAATTCTAAATGTTACGAAAAATTAATTGCGAAACGGTAATATTGCACGGCCCGGTTACAATATTAATATATACGTAATTAACAATATAAAACAATTTTTTTTTATTGTAATATCATTAAATTAACGAAGATATAACGATATCAAAATCACTATCACACGTAAATAGCGGGAAACAGGTGTTATCATTTTTAAACAATAAATACAGTTGATAATGGGACTAGACTGCGTTCAACTTTTTTTCATCGCATAGAATAGTTGTATATCTATCCGCTAGATTTCATTAGTATCGTAAAATATTAAAAATGATATCACGAAAAATGAATAAAAGATTGTTGCAAATAAGCAACACGACGCATTGAAGGGTTAAGAAGGAAATTAAAACTAATAAATAAATACAACTTCATATTTACAAAAATTACTCATATTTCTAAAAAAGTCATTTTTCTCTAAACAGTAATTAACAAAAATCAAATTCATGTTTACAAAAATTATCGTTATATACACAAAAATTATAGTTATATTTACAAAAATTATAGTTATATTTACAAAAATTATAGTTATATTTACAAAAATTAAGGTCAACATTATTCAGTATCGGAATCCGTTTCAGAAGATGTGTCTCCCGTAATAGTCATCAACAAATCATCTTTCTCCGCGGACAACATCTCATCTATTATGTTATCGACCTCATAAAATTTTATCTCTTCTTTTTTCGTGTGGCTTATAAAATGTTTCCACATTTGTGAGTCAACTCGATCTATGCCCTCTACTAGTAATTTTTTTACATCTGGAAGTTTATAAGTTGTGTTGTTCATTCGAACATGGTTCTTCACTGATGACCAAGCAAGCTCAATGGGGTTAAGCTCACAGTGGTATGGGGGGAGTCGTAATACTGTATAACCACTGTTTTTTGCTAGTTCATCAATAACATACCTATTATGTTGTGGTTTTAAACGTTTCACTATGAGCAAAAGTTGAGGGATAACCATAGTTCGGTCTACCACTTCTCCTTTATCCTCCAACCACTTAATTATATCCGCCTTTCGTGTATTCGATGTTGGGGCTTTATCAATTTTCACGGAATGGTAGGACGCATTGTCCATAACAATTACGGAGTTCGGTTTTAGGCGAGGTAGAGTGCCCTCCATCCATTCACGAAATGTGTCCCCATTCATCTCGTCGTGGTAGTCACTCGTATTTTTTTTCGATTCAAAACACAACAAACCACCGGGGACAAAACCATCTTCAGAGCCGATATGGAGAACAATAAGTCGTTTCCCTTTGCCAGAGGGATTAACAGCACCTGTCGATAGACCTTTTAAGAATGCATCACGGTGAGATCGTACTGTTGTGTCGACCCACGTTTTCGATGTACAATCGCCAGCATTCACCCATGTTTCGTCGAGAAAATAAATATGTCGACCCTCTTCCCGGTATTTTCTAATGCTATCCAAATACGTTCTTCTCCACCCAACAATTTCATTTTTTTCAGTCATAGCACTGTTCCTACTTCGCTTACTGTAACGGAAATCTAAATCTTTTAAAAGATGAAATAAATTTGTGCGCGATACTGTTGGCAAACTGTCGTCGGCTGACACGGCTTGGTGGATTTTATCAATCGTAGGAATTTCACGGCGAAACCAGATGCTATGCACATGCCTACGTACTGCGTTTTTTGAAAAATCGTCAAAAAGATCGCGAAATGATTTTTTATTACGTGTTGTTTTTGCGACTGGCACCGTCTTTGTCTCATTGTAAGCCTTAATGATCGTGTGGATTGAACGTTCGCAAATAGACAATAGTTCTGAAATTTGCTTACGAATTTGCCTCATGGAAATGTTAGGTTCGTCCATTATTATACTTTTTTACATATTAACAATACGGATTCTTAAATCCTCACTTATAGCCTGAAATAAAAATATTTAAAAAATAAGTCTTAATAAAAATGCTGTCCTGAAAGACATTTCAAACAAAAAACATGTTTTAATCGATTAAAACCATTTTTTTTTTTTGAAAAAAACATGCTTTTTATAAACTCGGAATTTTTATATTATACATATAATACTCACTTTTCCACTTTTCTGCTTTTTAATTGGTGATGGGCCATATTCAGCATTATCCTCGTCAGAACTGCTTGCCATTTTGGATGAATAATTCACAAAATAGTATTAAAAAAAACGAGATCAAATATCGGAAGGCGGGCGGTGTTTTTATGTGTTACGGACTGAAAGCGTAAACCACTTGTGGCATAGTAACGTGGATACTATAGTTCACTACGTATACAGCTGCAGCGCGTCGGCGGCAGCAGCACAGTCGACATCAGCGCCGACGGTGGCAACAGACATGCGCGAACTCGACGAGTTTTCGTCGATCGGGTGGGCAAGGTTATTCTGAATAGAGTATAGTTTTCCGTGGATGTTCTGTTCATAATAAATAATTGTTAACCGATCACTGTCAATTGTCATGTAAACATTAGGAAGCCATTGGAAGATATTTAATGTATTGAAAATAAAATTTTAAATGTTATAATAAACGCGTGATTTAATAACAAAATTCATGGACTCGCGTGAAGTTAAATTTCACGGATTCACGTGTATTTAAATTCATAAATGCACGTAAATTTATTTCACGTGATTGCGTACGTGAATTTTAATTTCACGTGTATCCGTGAATTTAACTACACGTGAAATAGAGACCTCTAGTAGGTACCTATATTACCTAACATAATATATATTAATTCGAGTATTAATTGCATAGTAATATATGTCAATTAAAATTATAATAATGTAATGTAGGTATGTAATAGATAGGTATAGCCGGTATAAGCTATAGTATAAGTACCTATTATAATATATATTATAGGTATTAGATTGATATATTACATTACAACATCTATAGATTCCTATTTCATCATTGAATATATATATATATATATCATAATATATAGGTATATATAATCAGCAATAATAATAACAATAATAAAATTTTCTTGTGCCCATTTCTGAATTTAAGGATACCTAAATAAATTTGCCTAATAGAATATGTTTACATAATTATTACATTATTTTGGTTTTATGTACCTATCTACATAATAGTATTACTATATTTCTATACTGTTCTATTTTAGCAACATATCGATTTTAAATTTTTTTTTCCAAATTGTGTATTTTAGGGTGCTTTATATATAAAAATATTCTTATAAGAATGTAAAAAAAAAGCCCGGACAAACTTCGTTTTAAAAATATTGATAAAAAACTTAAAAAACTACATTTTTTTCGTAACGCGCATATTTTTAAAAAAATACCTAGAATAGAATATTTTTTAATTTAAATCTCGAAAATACACATTTTGGAAAAAAAAATGTTAAAAATCGATAGGTTGTTAAACTAGATTCGTTCTCTAACCGTTTTGTTTATTTGTTTCTAAATTTTAATATTTTGTTAATATTTCCAAGAATATTAATTCTAATAGTATAAATGAAGAAAGACTTCAAGTTGATATAGATCCAAACCTGTCAACCCCAAATTATCTATCTTTGAGTGATATAAATGATTTTAGTTATGAACATGAACCCTTTAATGCAACTGCACATGGACTCTTAAGATTTAAACATAGAGGTAATAACATCTAAATAGTTATTTATTTCTATAACAAACAACAATATAATTAATACCAACCTTATATTACTTTGTTACAGGAAAGAGAGAAAACTGAATACAGAAGTAATTTCAATATTTTAGCAGAACTTAGAGAGTGGGCCTTAATAGAAAATGTTAATCATTGTACTATAAATTCACTATTGGTGAGGTTAAAAAAACATTATTGTTTCAAACATGATCTTCCAGTGGATGCTAGAACACTATTATATAATCTAAGAACAATATTTGTCAGGAAAGTAAATCCAGGAGAATATCACCATTTTGGTATAAAAAATGGAATTTTTGAATTTTTAAAAAAACATCCAAAATTTGTTGGTCCTATTAATGTTTCATTTCATGTTGATGGACTACCCATTTCCAAGTCTACTCAAAGCCAACTCTGGCCTATTTTAGGATCTATTTTTAAACATAAATTTGTTTTTGTAATTGTGCTGTACCATAGTTTTGTGAAAAAACCAAATGATGTTTGTCAATATCTTCAAGAATTTGTTGAAGACGCCAAAGATATTGTGAGAAACGGTATTGAATTCGACGAAAAAGTATTTGAGTGTTTTATTAAAACATTTATAGCTGATACACCAGCAAAAGCATTCTGTCTTCAAATAAAAAGTCACACAGGGTATTTTTCATGTACAAAATGTAAAACAGAAGGAGAGTTCATTACTAGAATGTGTTTCCCTGATATGGATGCACCCATACGTACCCATGAAGAATTTGTTCTACGTTCAGACGAATCTTTCCATACAGGTATTACTCCACTTACAGAAATACCTACATTTTCATTTGTTAACAATGTCTCAAATAACTATATGCATTCAGTTCTTTTAGGAATAATGAAGAAATTAATAGCCCTTTGGATAAGACCTGGAGGTCCTTTAAGTGTACGTATGCGATCAAAAATAGTTGAAGATGTATCAAAAATATTAATTGAAAACATACGACCTGTAGTACCTAGCGAGTTTCAAAGAAAACCTCGTTCATTGAATCATTTTTCTCAGTGGAAAGCCGTAGATTTTAGAATGTTTTTGTTGTATACTGGTGTTGGAGTATTAAACAATAAAGTTAAGTCAGTTGTGTACAACCATTTTGTTACATTTCATGTTGCTATAACATTATTGAGCGTAGAAGATCAAATTTCTACAAATATTGATTATTCTGAAAAGCTTCTACAGCATTTTGTAAAAAGCTTTGGCACAATTTATGGTGTAAAATAAATAAAAATTATAAGCCATAATATCCATGGTCTTATTCATTTGTCAGAAGATGGTAGAAACCATGGAGCACTTGACAATTTTTCTGCTT